TGTTTGTGTGTGTGTGTGTGTGTGTGTACCTGTTTTTCTATTCTGGTGGGGACTTAAACCTGAATACACACAGACTCATAGGGACTTGTGTCACGGTGGGGACCTAAATTGAGGTCTCCACGGGTAAACAAGCTAATAAATCACACAGAATTAAGTTTTTTGAAAATCTAAAAATGCAGAAAGGTTCCTGTGAGGGGTAGGTTTAGGGGTAGGGTTGGAGTAGGGCAATAGAATATACGGTCTGTACAGTCGAAAAACCATTACGCCTATGGAGAGTCCCCACAAGGATAGCAAACCAGACATGTGTGTGTGTGTGTGTGTGTGTGTTTAGACATAGTTTGAATGATTATGCATATTTGTTTAGTGTCTGTCTACTGCCTATTCTTTAAATAGGCCTATACCTGTATCTCAACTCATTATTTTGTAGACCTACCTCTATGGTATATCCTCCATTGCTGACCTATGCCTTATCTTATTTCTCCCTCAAAACTCTCTGGGAAGAGATATATTGGATTAATCTGAACGAAAATATGAATCACCACCATTGGGGACCTTTACAAGGTTGAATCACTCCACAGTAATCTTTGGTCTATATAATCTTTTGAGGTGAATCTGCTGGCACGAGAACCCGAAGGCTGTACTGCAGTACAGGAAGTGCTAAATATACACTATACCAGTAAGAATGTCATCTAATAAAACTTAATGGACATGGCAGAAAGTAGATATCAAAAAAAGATATACAGACTGAAGAATATGTAGTGAAAGACAGAGAGAAAAATATCAGAAAATAGTGACTTACTAATTTTGTTGTTGTTTTTGCATCAAACATTGCTGAATAATGGCTGTATAAATGACCGTTCATTTAGAAAACCTACAGAACTTTTCACTCAACAGTCTCTACATCTAAACTAATATAATAATTAAACCAAATTATTTCATCTATATTTATTAATTTGAATTCAAGTAATCATGTAATAACTAGGTTAATGTACAGTCAGACAGCTCCTAGACACTCATAGTCTCTCACTTCTCACATAATAAAATCATTTCAACTCAAATCAATATTTCATGTGTCCAGCCATGCAATGAGTGGGATAATGTACTGTACAGTCAGCCGATCTTTACAGCAACATAAACCCTCTCAGGGTGATACAAGACCCTCAGCTTCACATCAGGGACTATTTTGTGATAATGACAGGATGACTTTACATTAATCATGAAGTTAATGCCTTTGTACCTCAATGTGCTTAGTCCATAGCTGAATACGTACATTGTGTCTGTGGAGATTAACCACAAGAAAGATTGTCCGTGTCTATTTGAAGAGCAGAATATTCCTTAACAAAAGGCTTTAACATAACGCAAACAATAGTTTCACAACTCCGAACCGCTGTCGTTTATACGGACGGCATTGCCTTTCTAAGGCATTTGGTTGAGATGATAGTTAAAACCAGGCGTCTGTCACTGTTATCCAACCAGCCAAACAAAAGCTGCTAAGTGCAGACAGAATTTATATAACCCTTTACATAACAGAGCACAATACTTCAAGTAAACACATTTGTTGTGTGATTTACAAGTTAAATCATTCTCTGCTGGCTGTATATAGAGTAACTCATGCAAGGGAAATGGTGTTAAACAAGTCTGTGAACTCTAAGTTTGTAAGTACGTATGAGTCCTAATAAAGGCTACATTTTCAATTACCACCTGACAATGAATAATTAATACCATTTGAGACATTTGAGATAGCTCACAGGGTGTTTTGAATCTTAAGTAGAACGTAAAATAAAATAAAAAAACAAGAAATGCTGAGAAATTACTAATTAAACAAAATGACTAAATAATAAAAGACAATCATTTATGTGCAGGATAGTTCATGTTTATTAACACCGTACTATTCATTTGTGAAGATCGTGCTCAACCTTCATCAAATATTTATAGCGGATTAAGTAGTTCTTGCTTCTATAATAAAATAGGTAATTTATGAACAGATCAATGAGAGGAAAAAAAATGAAATCAAGTAAATGTTGTTGGATATGCTATTGTCCATAATGTAGATCTGAACAAAGCAAGAAAAAAAAATCCTGCCACACTTAAGGCAGTCTCCAGAACTGACAATAAGAGATCTTTTGTAAGTCTTGTAACTAATAAGACTTGTTATTATTGTTATTAAAATATTTTCAGTATACCAAACAAAAGAAGGAGAGTGTTTTTAGAGCACAAAATGTTTTTTTTAGACAGCGGAGTATCTTAAATTGATCCAGTGTGGCTGGTTTAACATTAGTTTCAAGGATTGTCCGCATACATCAATTTGGATTCAGGTCAAACCTCACTGGCTACTACGATTTTACTAGAGTGATTAGATTTTATACTGTACTTCTAACTACGCTGATGCTCTCATTTAAAAATCCATCCAATCACACTGGGAAGCCTATGAGATTCCCAAAAGCACGGATTCAAACTCATTTTAGGTCACGGGCCAGATTAGATTAAACGTCAATTTATGCTGGCCGATTATTTTATTAGTTTTTATTTATTTTTTGTTAAATCTTGATGAATTCATGGACAGTATAAGCACAATATGTGGTTTTATTTAACATTTGAAGTCCAAGAGCAACTTCACAAGACTAATATATACGCATACACAACTGATATTAGAAATATTAATTACCACACGCAAAAAAAATAATAGATGACAGCAGTATCATTTCAGTGTCACTGAGATAGCTTTTATTTATATTTTGAATTAGTTTTTTATTTTTATATTATCTGTTCTCGTTTTAATTTTAGTTCAACTTTTATTCATTTTGTTTCTTTTTGTAATTTTTATTACAGTAGTTTGTGTTTTTAAAATATTTATATTTAGTATTTATTAACTACTGCAGTTTACTGCAGTTTTAGTTTTAGTTATTTAAGTACCATTTTAGTATCATGTTAATCTAAATGAAAATGAGAATTATTGCCTTGGCAACTAGCTGAAATAAAATGTTTCATTTTTTAAAATTATTTTATTTCAGTTTAAGTTATTTTATTTTATTTCAACTATAATAACCCTGGAACACAGCTAACAAAACAAATGTAACATATCAGCTGACGTGCTGTAGGAAAAGTGAATCTTTTTTTAATTTAAATGTTTAAACGTTCAAATCATCCCACAGGCCAGACTACCCTCCTCCGTATTCTCAGAAGCCTATACGAGGTCTTCAAAACATGAACTTAGAACTTCAGGTCATGAGGGATTTTACTGTGCAGCTACAAATATACAACTGATCAAATATTCAGATATGCATGATCCTGAAAAGCACTGTCTGTCTTGGTTTCTGCTGTATCCCAACCCAAAGGCTCTCCATGCACAGCCCTACCCTGTAATACCCTGAACATTGGAGAAACTTGAGCCCATCTCAGGTCATTCCTGGCTTCTTAGCACCAAAAAGCCTTCCTTTTGTGTGCGTGTGCAGTGTGTGAGCGCGGGAGGGTTGGCAGGACACCTTCCTACTAATCCGGTCCTCAAGTCACCCTCCTCTCTGCAAGCACCAGGTGATAATCTTAATCCTGCTCTTGGGACAGGATGCCACGTGATAATAAGACTAAACCAGACTCAGTACTATGTGTTCAGACATACCTTAAACACCAGTCCGTCAAGCTGTTTCTATATCATTTTCAAAAAGTGTGGTAGATTTTGCTATCTTATACTTGCATCTTGTTTATTTAAATTAGAGATATCGTTCAATGCATTTACTTAATAAAATGGATGTAATCTTGCATTTTGAGTAGTGACTATATACTTCATCAGAGGGATTCTTTTATGATTTCTTGGAATCTGCTGAAACATGTGCAATGGGTTTTTTGGGGGGAATGGCGATTGTTCTTCATTCAGAATAAAACATAGACTATAGACTTACAGCTGCCAAATTTGAGTGGGCAGGCATGAGCATCCATAGGAAAATCCTCCAACTGCATGGGACACTCCGCTGATATGGTCAATCTGAAGAGAGAAAAATGTAAATTAAAATATGATTATCAGCACTTCTGAATATGTTTTAAAGATCAGTTTTTAGTATAAACATGACTTTAGTGACAATCGTCACTGGAGCTTATTGTAATTCCATCAACGTTCAATGTCTTGTTGAAAATCTTCCTAATGTAGCTATAGGCCTGAAAAACTTGTGTATATTAATAGTAAGACTGAGCTTGTGTGTAGTGTTGAGTCTTGTCTTAGATGTATTTATAGAACAAGGGTGCCATCAAGTGCCAGAAGTAGGAATGCTGCCAAATCGTTGAAGTAAATCACTGCTAATTTTGGCTTTAAGCACACACACACACACACATACTTCACAAAAACATACATACAAATGCCATTCCCTATTCAATATTCAGTTTTGCATTCCAATCCATTTTAAACGCTCAAGCTGCATACAGAAGCATTTAAAAGATCTCTTTTGAACTGGCATCGCCACCTATTGGAATATTTGAGGACTACAAGCTACAAAATAATTACTGTGCTATGACACTACATTCAGTGCTATCACAAACTAGTGATGACTGATTCAATTTCAACTATACAAGTTATTAAATTAGATAAACTAAAGCTACATATAATTAATATTGTTGTTGTTGCTTTTTATGGAATGAACCATTTTCACATTTCAGGGGTTCTCAGAAGCGGAAGTCTAGTTGTAGTGGTGAATGGAAACTACAAAAAATAAATAAATTAAAATAAATAAACATATTTTTTGCAATCTCATCTTCCCTAATAGCAAAAAAATAAATAAAAATAAAAATCCACCATAGTATTTCTATGACTTTCCAAAAGAGGGAAAAAAATACTGAGAGACTGATTCAAATTAGCTTTCACTCCCTCAGCCTTTGTATTAGAAACACTCATGCAGCAGTGTTAACTAGTTTTATGTAATGTAATGCCAAGGTAAGAAAACAAAAAGTATAGTGTTATAAATGTACATTAAATTAAAAAAAAATGAAAATATAAAAAACTTAGATTTAGATGTTAGATTCACAATGATTTACTAGATTTTAATTTTTCACAGTCAGTCAATCTTCAAACATAGTTATTTTTTTTTGTATAATATGATTATCACTTGTGAACTTAAAAACATTTAATTAAAGGTGCTATGGAATGATATTTATTGCGAAAATCGCTATACAAAAAAATCTGAGTGAATTGAAAATGTTTCATATATACATCTAACATTATTCAAACAGCGGGTTAATATATATATATATATATATATATATATATATATCCCTGATGTAGAGAACTCTGCAGTGGCTGAATCCTGGCTATCCTGTAGCCCCCTCTAGTGGACCACTTATGATACACAGCTTTTTAATTTTATAACCATATGATTTCCTGAAAAGATTTAAGGCTAAACACATTAAATGTGATGGAGATGGATTTTGCAACTGGACAACATCAGTTGATTATATCTGCAAGAGTGCAACTGAATCTGATTGCTGGATGTTAAAGAGTATATAAGTGATCTAACATGACATTAGAAATATGAAATGGAAGTAGCATCATATTATTATTGTCCTTTTTAACCCAAAGGTTTCAGGCACTTCCCATTACAAAGAAGTCATACATTCAACAAACACATCCACGAGATTTACAATGTCTAGTTGCATAAAGTCTATTTAAATCAATGTTCAAAGTGTGCAGCTAAAGCAAAAATCAGCTTGGCCATTTAGCAAAGCAATTATATGAGATCAAGGCTGATCATAGCTAGCATTACCATTATGGTTACAGGATGGCTGCCATATTATGCTGCTTTGTAGCCATTAAGCCCTTCCCTCAACATCCCGGCTGGAGCCTATTCAATGCTTTGGTGTAAGCAATGAAATAAGATGTCAGCGTTGACCCTCAGCTGACAGCGTAATGAAGGGTTTGATATTGCCACGCTACTGGAACTGCTTAAAACCTCCATCATCAGCATCTGAGGATGAGACCGGGGTTGAAGGGCCCGTGGTTGTATCTCTGACTGGAAATCCTGCGAGAATGTAATTAATGGGGCGGGACACGTGAGGCGCTGTTCCTTCACTTAATCAGCACAGGGCCTTCATCTCTGACAGCTCCATGATGAATTGCTGTATTGGAAAAATGAAGGACTGTCCTCTAAACTCAACCTCTATTCGACCAGCTCACACAACTTTATCAAAACCAGCCATATGGGAGGCGAAGGGCTTGCTATGTACTTACTGAACACAGTTAGTGCTGAGGTCAGCATGGCTGGATGTGGAGATGAAATGATGTGGCACTGGGGCCTTGACAAATCATGGGCTCTCAGAGCTTTATCCTGACAGTGAACTTTATTTGGTCTGTGATAGCCCATTAAAGCTCATAAATTATTATTTTCTGTTCTTCCTTTGGCTGTCTTACAAATTTCACAGGAACATTCTGTAGAAGTCCTATGTATCTCTAAATAACGAGTGCCAACTCAATAGTAATATACAAACCTAAGCTGTAATTATAAATAATGCACTTATTAAAATACTACTTTCTTACAGTTTCATTAAATATTAAAGAGATAATATTGTAATAGATTGTACTTTTTAATATTAGAAGTGTCTACCTTTCAGATTGTATATAGAGTGCATGCATGTGTCATTGAAATATCTAAAAAATTATGGTACATAAATCACTACAGGACTTTGTATTAATTTGCACATTCACAGTCAAGTAGCAGTTTGAAAAAATCATATATCTGTTCATTATCTGTACATTTGTATACACAAAAATACAAACACATTAACTTATAAATTAAGGGGTATATCAAAGGTAAAATTTTAACAATTGCTCATTGAAAAATTCATATTGGTCAACCATTAATCTGATATCTAATATTGAGGCGGACATGTCCCTCTCAGTGTCTATGTTGGTTAAGACCCTCTTTAAAAAAAAAATTATTTTATATTTACAATTTTTACAATGCGTGTTTGCCTGCTGCACCATTTGTCTCAACACTGAGCTCAAGCAAAGAAGTTATTTTAAAAACATGGCAGATCCTTCAGAAGATGTGACAGTTTCTAGAACATCTCCCTTTTGTTCGGTCTCATAACCTCCTTTTTAACTCTAATAAAAGCCTGTAGACTGCATTCCACTTTTAGAATGTGGGTGGTGAAACCGTTTTGCCCTGCTTTTTCATGGCAGCTAAGGTGCTCCTTTCCATTTCAGCAGGGAAAAAAAACCAAACCTTATTGCTGATCACTTTTCCGGAAACAATGTGCGCATTAGTGAGTGGTAAAAGGCTCTTTTAATGGTTCGCATGCACTGTTAGGAAATGCAACACTGGGCACAGGGCAACACTAGGCAAGCTACAATAGCTCCACCATTGATTTCTAAATGACATGCTCCGAGTCATTTCCTCTCAGAGTCATTAATGTTTGATTGATGATCTCGTTCAATCTACGATCCAAAAAAGGAGCTCTATCTAAGGCTTTAGCAATTGAGCAATTTTGTAATATGCATTTGGTCTCGCAATATGCAACACAGACCATAAAATAAATAAATAAATAAAAAAACAGCAAAGATCCGCAAATGAGAAAGAAATGTGTTTCATGTAAATGAAATGATCCATGCTCTTTGACTTTTTCATTTATTTTATATTGCTTTAGCCCCACTACATGAAATCTAATTGTTACCTCTTTGTGAAACTCACCAAATCCCCCTTTGCAATTAAATTTGAGTTAATAAAAGCTTATAACTCATTATATAATGGATCACCATAAGTGTAACCTCAGGGAATAAAAACAACTTATACATAACCACCACAATCTAAACATTTTACGATTGTGCTCCTCAAAATTCAGCATTTACTCAAGCAGATTCTACTACAGAGAGGATTTAGTATTGATGCCATTTGAGAACAACAATAGCGGCTTTTATACAGCACTAACACAGCAGTCTACGGTACTTGGCAGTAGATTGTTGCTGATGATAACATGGAGAGCAGAAACTGTGTGTGTGTGTGTGTGTGTGTGTGTGATTGTAAGTGTGCGTGTGTGTTCTCTCCCTCTGCCCTGATACTGCGAGTAATGGAGCAGACAGTCTGTGAAGAACAACTCAACAACAGGGGCATAAAACATACAGCCACATGGCCTTTTCCGCTTTCTCCTTTTCCTTTGTTTCTATCTCTTGCATTGTCTCATCCCCATCTTGCTTTCTTTTCTCTGGAAAACCCTTAGGTTGGAACACCCTTGGATGACTGATCCAGGGCACAAAGAGAAAACAAAATAAACTAGATACAGTAGGTACAGTAGGTATTTTTTCTGAAGAAAATGTGCATGGAGTTTCAATAAAATTAAATTGCTTCTGGAGCCTCAGTACACTACTCAAAGTCAAAAGAATGTTTAAACTTGCAAACTAGGTAAAATTATCTATCCGGATAACATAAATGGGGTTTTGTCAAAAGTGCAAAAATAACATATGATTAGTCTTGGTAGATAGTAGGGATGCACCGATACCACTTTTTTCAGAACGAGTCTGATATCGATACTTTCATTTTTGGTACTCGCCGATACCGATACCGATACCTGTATTTTCACAGCATTTGTAATTTTTTTTAAATATTGGGTACAGAAACAAAATAATAGTAATAATAATAATAATATGAATCATGTTAGTTGGCTTCATTTAGCAAACAGATATTACCTTCAGTTATTTCCACACTTAATTATACCTGTTCAAATGTATTGTATAAGCTTTTGTTACTTTCACTGCTCATTTTAATGGCGCATTAGAGCTGCTCCATTGCAGCAGCGCAATACTGTAATCACAAAACGCTTTCCTAAAATAATGCAGGGAACCATTCGTTATACATTATATGAGTGCATGCGTACTGTTTTGGTGATGTAATTTGCGTCACGCGCACAGGAACGGATTATGACACAGCGGTGCCCTGGGCACGGACCGATTAAAGGCCCCCCTCGGTTGAAATTCCGTTCCTTTTTTATTAGAAATTTTTCCAAACTTGTTAACTATATCATAAAATATCAC